TTCTTTTTGTCCTTTTTGCTCTTGTACCTTGTTTGCTGCTATTTCTTCTTTCTCATCAGCCACCTTTGCTTGGCACTGATTCATTACACCCATCTCCGTCCTTACAATCTAGTCCTCTTGCGTCTTCAACAAAGCTCCGTAGGAGATGCAAGGAAAATGGAGAGAAGTCATTTGATTGTGAGGCATCTAAAAATGCCGTTCAAAAGCACAACAAGTCTGACTTGGACTCTGATAGAAAAGGAAAAGTTTGCTTAGTTGAACAAGATATGGCATTTAGCTATAAACAAAAAGCTGGCAAAGGTGGAACTTTGTTTTCTTTCTCCTTGCAACTTCCAGAATCATTTCCCTCTCTCCTAGATGATGATGGCTACTTATCCTTTCCTAATCTCTCTGAAACCAACTTCCTGCCAGAAAGCATACAGCATTTTCTTCCCATTCGCTCACCTTCCCTCGTGCCTTGTTTCCTTTTCATCTTTTTCTTTCTGCTGTCTGCCTCTTTCTCAGTGCCATACGCCCTCACTCTCTCCTTTCCTCTGGCTATGTGCCTCTGCTACCTGGAGCCCAAGGCGGCCTCCTTGAGTGCTTCACTTGACAATGACCTGAGTGACAGTTCAGAGGAAGAGGTGTGTACCTCGGCACAGAACACACTTTTTTGTGTTCATTGCTTCAGTCCGAAACAGTGTTAGAATGCTGCAATAGTAGTCCTACTTTCAGAGCCTCATTTCTGTCTGTGCTGATATGTTCAGATTTTTTTTTTAACCTCTGTTGTGTTAAGAGTGTAGCTTGAGCCCCAGGGTTAGGCACAACACTACGTGTATGAGGTAGTGGTATTTACAAATTGCCACAAATCCCTTTTACAGTAGCTTATTTCTGGCCTTATTTTCTAACTCAGTAACTATTGCACTGGTTTTAGAACCATCTAAAAACAAATAATTAAGTCTAGTTTTTATATATAGTTGACTTTTTCAAGTGTAGATGTTGTAGGAGTTTAAACTTAAAATGTGGTACATAGCTCATTTAGCAGCTTTTCATCTTTGTAAGACACTGGATAAGCATCCAGTACAGTGCTGAGTAATTTCGATTTCAGTACTTTATAAATAAATATGTGCATAATAAAATATATCCAATATTTGAGATGTGTGGGTTTTGGATATGGGTATTATAACTTCTCTTCCGCAGCTCTAATTGGTGTTTCATTAAATAATCCCAGTGACTGAGAAACTGCCAAAGAAAACGTCGATCACATTACACACTGCCAAAACTGGTGCTTCTTATATGAAGGGCACTTTTCCGTCTGTTTGCCAAGGAAGTAGACTGTCCAGACAATATTTAAATATGCTTATTACAGTTTAAAAGAGAGCCGATCTATTTTGTACAGATCTATTAATTTTTTTTAATTTTCAAAAAAAATGAAACCAATTTCACCATTTGTTGCCACCGTTATACATACATTATGATTAATAGTGGCAACCAGATTTATATTTTGTATTTTCCAAGGAAAATATTACATTATTTACATTAGTCAGGGTACAATCCTGAACATACATTCTGGAATACCCCCTTCTTATGTTCTTTCAAACATCAGCATGTTTGTGACATTAGGATTAGTAATCAGCCAAACTGTAATTTGCAAAAGTATTTTTTTATTACAATCCAAAGCAAATACACATGGGAAGAAGCCCCTCTGAACCTAGTGGAATTTGTGAATAGAAATTCATAACTTGAACATATCTGATGCTTTTGAAATGATTATTACTCCAGGACCAGTACTTCCATGGTAGATTACACAGATTTGTGCCTAATCCAGGGTGCTTCCTTGTTGGACATATTGCATGAAAATTTACTTTATTTTAAACTTGGGCATGTCTGCATTACATCAGCAAAACAAAACACAGCAGTTATTAAGAAAAGCTAAAGGACATGTGTCTACCACTTTCTATTTTGTTTTAAAGCTGTCTGACATTTTACTTGAAAAGCCTTTACATGCCTGCTAGTTACAATGGTAGTACATCACTTAGAAATTAAGGTTAGTGAGTAATTACCTACTCATTGTTTTATCTTCTGGCTCCTAGAAAAACTTTACTTTAGGGCCCCTATTAGGTTTCCATTTCACTGCAAATCCAGTTGGTGCTTCATTAAATATTCCCATTGGTTGAGAAGCTGCCAAGGGAAATACATGAACAACTTTTCTCTAGATAAGTCTTTATATCTTTTACTGAGCTATTATTCATCCATACTTTTTTGTTGTAGCCCTTGATTGTAGTTGCAGTTGCATACCTGCAATAAAGGGTTACTGATTTTATGCTCCATCTAATAGACACTCTCAAGTTTATACAGGCAGGATCATATTAAAAGGCAGCAATGTTCTCCATGCTTGAATAATGTTTGAGGGCCACTACATTAGGGAATATATTCCCTCCACCTTTATGGTGATGGACCTTTTGCATCTGAAAAAAGTTTCCAAATATAAAGAGAATGAGAGGTATTTGGGGAGTAGTACATACAGATTACAGCTAGAGACATTTAAAAGGTGTGATTGCAAACATAACACACTGGGCACCAGTTAAGTCAACCTTGACAGAAGAAAACCAAATCCAGTCATAATAAATATGTTGCACCTAGAAATATTCTAATTGTTGATGGCTGAATACGAATAATATTACAAATGTAAAACTGACTATATATCAAAGTAATTTGTTTTTATATAATTAGTAAATTCCAAGTTTCACAAATGAGTTACCAACTAAGTTGTTCATTCATGAGAACTTTTGTGACTCTTAATATAGGCATATTTCTTTAGTTAGTGTCCTGGAATATCACCATACTAAATACAATACTATATTGCAAATATATCAATTCAAAGAACAGCTACTGAACTTTGCCATGCTCCATAATGTGTACTGCAGCATTACATTGCTTGATTATGCAAGCGACAATGTAGTCATAATCTTCATTTGGAATAAGTCTAGGCCTAATGTGGATTATTGAACCAGAAGAATAGGGGTGACACCATTTTCCTTCTCCAACACTTCCCTGAGATCAGGGATGTGGAGGTTCTCCCTGACAATGCATGTCGTCCCAGGATCTCAAGGGGTAGTGTCTTGTTCAGTGGAGTGACTGGTTTCCCAAAACAAATTTTGCCCCTCCTGTGCTGAATCAAGCTGCATTAAAAATGAACACTTTAATCTTATTTTTATAAAACCAAGGATGATAGTGAAATTAACCTTCAAAAACTCAAAACGTTTAAGGCCCTTTTCTCATTGGGATCATTTGTTGACTGGCATGGATTTCTGAGTACAATATATGTATACAGCCCATCACATATTAAGAATACATCTGAGAATTTTGAATTCCTCTTCCCAATTCAGGGGACATTCCAGGTTTTGCTACTTGCATTTTAGAGTTGGACACAGTAAATATATCCTTATTATTTGACAAGTTCCATATGTATTTTGTACTCTAGTAACCACCCCTAAATACAAAAGATCTGATAAGGTGCAGCCATTCAAATTATCTAAATGAAATAGCAAACATACAATTTATCTTTGAAATGCTTTTTCCAGGGGGGAAAAAGCTTTCATATTATCAGACTCCATAAATGTATTTTACAAATGCTATAAACAAATAAATTTGGAAATTAGAAATGCCATTAAGATTTGTCTAGAAACTGATAAATGCAGCAGTGGGGATGTATATGCAGACAGTTTGGCAGAGGCTTAGAGCTGCTGCATGAGTGATTTTTAAAGTAACTGTGAAGTGATTAATTTTAAAAATGGCTGCCAGCCTGCTGCAGGAACCTGAGTGGCTGTGCAAAGTTGCTCCACCCTTTTCCAGATTATCCTCTCAGAGCCTGACACTGGGCATGACTGTTTTCTGAAGATGAGCCAAACCCGGGGAACATTGCCTGTATTCATTTTGAGGGGCATCAGCCACATGGTACCATTAGAAAACATCATTAATTTTACAACAATGTATTGTTTGTGACCAGCAGTAGATGCTTTACTGATGCTAACAGAATCTGTGTTGTTGTGACTGGGGGCACTGTGGCACTGAATGGCCTTTATACTTTAACAAGAACTGCTTGAAAAATCTGAGAGATCACTCCCCCTTTAAACTGATTCAGTGTATATGTACTAATTCCTTTTCATTCAGTATTATTACATTTGTTCTTGATACAATCTAAATCACAAATAGTTAAGGGTGGATAATGCTGTGCTTTGTTTCACTTTTATCATTTGTACCTAGTGAATGTCATTCTTTTTTAAAAAATGTTTTGTCATGTTTTGTACATTGGAATGATAAGTATTGTCTTTTTAAAATTATTCTCTTAGAAGTTCAGAATTTATCAATAGCATTTCTACCTTAGCAATAACTGATGTCTGTTGAGAGTTGCCACCTTCTCAAAGACAGACTGTATCATATTTAATGTGTTGAGCTCTTTGGTAATGCAGATACCCACTTAGCCTTTTTTTATAGGCGGGGTTATCAAAATCTGTACAGATGAGGGGATGAAAGGCAGGCGACTGTTAATGTGGGTTTTATTTCTAACAGTTTTCTTTAAAAATATGAAAGACCATTTTTTGTAATTATTTCTAATGGTTTTGTTTCAAAATATGAAACACCATATATTTCTGTAATTTTTCATTAAAAGTTTACAAGATTTTTAGTGTGCGTATTATAGTAGGAACAGTGCTTACAAGTTTTAATTGTTGTTCAGAGCCATTGGCTTTCCTAAGAGGAATTAAGAGTTATAACTACATGCCTTTTTCTAACAATATTTTGTTTGGCTTTGTGCAATATACCTTGAGCCTTGCTCTGATTCTGGTGCACCTGTTTCTCATTTTGTTCCTTTAAATTAGCTATGTTTGGAAAGAAACTCAAGTGCAGTTCATAGGGATGTAGACTTGACTAATCAGCATGTGACATATTTACTGACAAACTGGGTTTATTCTTTTTTCCGGTTAACTTACTGGACCCTGGTTACTCATGCAACAAAATAGACTGACAGTGAAAGGACAGATACTGCTGCTGATGGTGAAACTACTGCCACAGAGGTTTGTTCAGTTGTTATCATGTTGTTGTCAAATAATGTAACATGCATCTTCAGATATAAGATTCTCTATGTTACTGCTGTGTGCAAGTTTAATTAAAGCAGCTCTTACAACATATGTGGGACTAGGGGTTGGGCATGAACCAGAAAAATGCAGTTCGGTTTGTGGTAAACCCATCACAAACTTCTGTTCACAAACCACAGACAGGACAAAATTCATGGTGCATTTTGTTTCTTGATTCAGTTCATGACGATCCCTACTGGGGACCTCAAGCAGTATAAAATACATAAACATCAATGATGCATCAATAAGAAAGCATACGCCTATGAATAATTTACAAGGTTTTTTTTCCAAAGTACAAGTGATGACTGCAAAACTATGGCACCTGCCAAATTTTGAAGATTTTGAAAAATTTAAAAAACTGTGTATTGTTGCAAATGACTGGTATAGTACAATGATAATACAATATCCAATCATGTGTGGACACACTATTGGTCATACTAACTAGAGTGTAATGGAATGTTCAGAAAATATAACTTACAGATAATCTTTCAGTCTGTGTGTGAGGTAGAAGATAGAGCTCTTGATGTTTACTCTAAAGCAGGAGTAGGAGTCTTCACATTTAATTGGAGCAGTATGCAGGGAGGAGGAGTTTAACTCTTTCCTCATATCATTTTTCTGATTTAAATCCCATTTCCTGCTCCCTGAAACTGCTATTAGACCTTTAAAAGAGAGAAAAAAGTTAATAGTAATTCAGGAGAGAAATCAATTATATCTGAAAAACAGTGCCAATCAAATTTAGAACCTTCTTTCTTTCTTTAGATTAAAAAAATAAAAAGATCAAAAAGATCAGAATTACTGATTTCCCAGGTCAAGTATAGTTTGGCCCTCAGTGTTGAAACTTTTTTTGACAAATCATTGTTTTTATTCATTTTTAAAAATTATTTTAAAATGATTTTAACTGCTCAATATATATTAAGCAGAAAGCAAATAGTACTAAAGTACTTTGGTCACTACACCATATTGATTAGAATCATTATTTGATTTCTAAAATACAGCCTGTATTTAAATTCTTCAATAGGAAGCATGATAGATTTATTTATTTTATTTATATTCTGCATTTCACCCCTCTCCTCCATTTTATTCTCATGACAACCCTGTGAGGTAGGTTATGCTGAGAATGTGTGAGTAGCCCAAGGTCACTCAGCAAGCTTCCATGGCATGAGGGGGAATTTGAAACTGGATTTTCCAGGTCCTAGTCTAAAACTTTATCCACTATACCACACTGGCTAAATAAAATATTTATTCTCCATCTTTGAACATCTTCCTAATACAGTAACATAAAGGCTGAGGACAGACTGGCAGTATGAAGCGCAAGGGAGGCGGGGCAAAAAAGACCCGGACCAAGTTGTGCCGGGGATTCCTGGTTGTACTGCATCTACTGATGCGGGAGCATACTGAAGAGGAGGCGCAAGGGTGCGTTTGCACTGTTGCCCCGCCACTGCTGGTGGAGGCGCAGCTGTAAGTGGCTTTTTTCACTCCGGCAACATGCACCTATGCACATAGGCGGAGCAATGTGGCTTGTTTGCAGCTTTTAGCATTCACACTTCCAGGAAGTGGGATCAACGCGCTCTCCGGGGTTTGCTGCCGCTTTCACCTGGTACTTTTTTAGCACGGTAGGGAATCATCATAGGACAGGTTGAGTACGGCTGGGGAACGCCTGACAGCTGTGGCTGTGTGAACTGGCCCCTTTAATCCGTTTGTGAAACGTGCCTATATTGGGCCAAACTGCCAGTCTGAACTCAGCCAAAGTGTAACACAAGTATATTTATATTAAAACATTCTATTTAATGTTCACATTTGCAGCACATTCTGTCTGAGTCATATTGATATTTTTAAAACTCTAATAAATAAAAGCAAAAGTAAAAAACTGGTTTTTTGCACAAAACTCCATGATGCAAAGATAACTCCTTTTTATTTAACTAAATGACTGAAGTTTATTCAAACTAGTTTCACTGTTCCACTCTCATCTCCATGAACACACTCAGTGACCTGAAGCAAGCTGCTCTCAGCACCTCACCTGAAATACAGCGATAGTAATTCTGACCTCCAGGACTGTTGAAAGGATTACTGAGTATGTGAAACATTTGAAATGCTGTGAGAATAATATACTCTGAAATACTTGTTTTATTTATTATACATGTATTGTATGTATTATTTTATTGTAGTAATTTAATTTATTATTATGTTTTAAAATCTTTCCTACGCTAACAGTCAGACCAAGAGGAAGATGGTGATCTCAAGGCACAGGTGGGTGTGTATGTGTGTGGAGGCAGGGCTAATTGTTGGTGCCTGCAGAAGTTTCTCAGTATGACATTTACCAATTCTGCCTTCTACACCATTCTTGTATCCTTTTAATATTGTTGCCCTTACGTTTCCCTTTCTCTCTCACTTTTTCAGAGTAGTCTGATTAAGCGCATAAAGGGTGAAAATGTGTATGTCAAACATAGTAATCTTATGTTAGAGGTTGGTATTGGTATATACCAGTGCATGTACTGTACATGTGTTTTGATTATAGTGGTTAAGCTGTGAATCTACACTATGATGCATGATGTATTCTCACTTGCTAATTAATTAAACAGCTATTTCTCTTCTGAAGACTTTTCTGTTACACTGTCTTTTAGGACTCTTTGTGTGTATGCCTAGATTTTTTTAAAAAGTCTTTTGTAGGTAGAATCTAGAATGTATGTGAAATCTGACAATCCTTTAGAACATTTGATGCTCACAGAAATGAGGACCACTTTACACACTGCATTTTTAAAGTGTTCCCATAAAATGTTTTATACATAAAAGCAAAAATGTAATTTGTGAATGCAGTAAATGAATTTGAAAATGCATATATTATACAGGTAAAATCACCAGTAGTTTCCTCATAAGAGTACATTCAGTGGTGAACACTGGTTTGCTACCATGTTCTGTGTGAAGCGGGCCTAAGAGTTTCTCTGTAAGCTATCTTTCAAAAATACCACAGTTTCACAAGTGTGTTGTGTTAGTGCTGTGAGACCTAATCCCTCCAGGCCCTTTCCCCTGTTTTGCTGACTAATTTATATGGTTTGATTCCCCTCCCCCATTTTTTTCCAGTTTACATAACCTAAGTTACAAATGTGGCATTTTCCCTCAGGAACTAGATAAAAACCAAGAAGACCTGATGAAACATCAGACAAATATAAGTGAGCTGAAGCGGACGTTCTTGGAAACCTCCACAGATATCTCAGGGACCAATGAATGGGAAAAGAGGCTTTCTACATCACCAGTCCGGCTTGCTGCAAGACAAGAGGAAGCGCCTATGATTGAACCACTTGTGCCTGAAGAAGTGAGTGACTGTGTATGCCACACTAAGCTGTTACCCGCTTCTAAGTCCATTGACTTCAGCAAAGGGTTTATAACTCTGTTTAGGATGACACTGTGTCTTCCTGTTTTTCAGCTTCAGTGCCTCAACAAACTTTTAATAGGTGTTAACTAATTCTAATTCTTTTGATTAGTATGAAACATTAAACTATTAGAAAGGATAGCTTAGGGTCGAAAATAGGATATGTCAAATCTGTGAAATAGATTATAAGTAAGAATAGATAACTAAAAAATTATTAACTGTATCTTTCTGCCTAACTTATTACAAGTGTGATCATAAAGCATATTTTGTCATATGAGACAAAATTGGTTACAGAACAGTCAGTAGAGGGTTCATTGTGCAGTCCAACATGCTTACTATGAATGTACAGGCCTGCCATGGTGAAGGATTTTTCAAGCTCAAAACACCTAGAGGCACTATGTCCCCCTCCCCCACACTGTTTCACACCTTTTCCAACATGATGTAGTGGGGACAGAGTGCCCTTCCTTCAGTTCTCTCTCTCTGACATTGCTGAAATAGGTCTGTTCACAGGATCTCCATTCTTTTCACACTGATAAACCTACCTCATTAACTTATCTAGAACGTACTGATAAACCTATAGAATGGCACAAAAAGCTTTCTTTAAGAAATGTGGGTCAACCCCCTCCCCAGTCGGATGACCACAAACAATGGCTACTGTGCCTCAGCAAGGAACACAATGTATCATGCTGTTCCATCTGTCACCAACTCACCCCAAAGGCAAGGCATGACAGAGCTTCCTGCCTAAAAGCAGCACTTGGGGGGAAAGCTCTGTCTGGCAAGACAAAGATCCAAGCAACTATGCCTTCAGCTACTGATAGAAGAATCCGAGCATCCTTGGTTCCAGTGGTTCCAAGACTGAAACCAACCATTCTGGACCCAGATATTTCCACGGGCTTGATCCCTATGTCCCTGAAGCAAAACTCCTCAGAACAACCATTGAAGAAGGCTTGGCACAAGCATAAGCATGCAGAGAAGCCTCCTAAGTCAATGGCATGGTCTACTCCTTCCAGACCTCATCATAAGGACCTAGTCTGCCACAAAACCTCAGAGGAATCAGAGTTAATGCACATTCCAATAGCACCTTCTCCATCGGGTCACTCACCATCCTGTTTCAGAGGTCAGACCAGTACTTGGGATCATCCGTCCCGTGTTGTCAACCCCCCTCATCTCACTGTTCAGAACCACCTCTCCAATTGGTTTCGACAGAATTGTATTTGACACTATCCCGATCGCTGTGCCAAGAACTCCAATATGACTGCTATGACCAAGGCTGGGATCTGTATGCTCCTCTCAGTTCTAACCAAGTGGAAATGGACACATACAGCATGGATGATCACAGTCTTCTACAAGAACTCCGTGAACAGATGAACACAGTAGGGGGGTTCGATGAAACTTTGATCCTCATTTTGAAGACAGGGAACCAGATTACAACTCCAAGGCTTTCCCTAATGACATCATGGCAGAATCATTCATGTACTCCCCCAGTGAAGACCTTTGCATCTGTAACAAAGCCATGCAAAGTTTACTTGAGGTCACTACCGGTCCTTGGCTATGCCTGGCCTTGTTGTCACCTTCTACAATGTGGCTCAAAAATGATGGTCACAGTCATAGAACAGACCGCAAAAAGAAGAAACTGTGAGGTAACTGCGCTAGAAAATATTTCAATAACAATCACAAAATTTATACAAAAATGTGTACAAAAATCGTATAAATGCACAAGGCAGTTGAAAATGGTGTGACGATGGTCTTGTTATTGAAATATTTTCTAGCGCAGTTACCTCACAGTTTCTTCTTTTTGCGGTCATCTTCTACAAAACATATAGAGAATCAATACAGAACCAAGCAGGAAGAATGCCCTTTCCTCTTCCAGTACCTTACTGCCAACTCCCTGGTAGCATACTATACCCCTGTCAACACAGAGGGCTGTAAACTAGTGGAATAGGCAGGAAATACTACACCTTTTCTACTCTTGGCTTTAAAATTACCGATTACCAATACATCATGGCCCAATACGAGGTCTTCCTTTAGGATGGCGTAGCCCCATGCTTAGAGATGCTGCCTGAAGACAAACACAAGGTGGCAAAACTCTTAGCCCTAGAAGCATCAAAACGCCAAATTTCCATAGCCAAACAATCAGCAGACTGCTCACCATTGCCGTAGCATTACATCACCCCTCTTGCTCAGGGCCCTTAGGTCCACTGTGCTCCAACAGAAAACCTGCAACAAAATTGAAGGCCTACCTTTCAAGGGCACAGACCTGTTCACTGCCAATACTGACAAAGCACTCAATAAAATGTGAAAAGACACTGGTGGTGATCCCTCCAAAATCCAGTTCTTTCTTTACACCATCCTACTGAGCTCCCAGAGGAAGAGGCCACCCAGTGTCTCATCCCTCATGCTTATGTGCTTGTCTATCAACCAGCAGAAAAGATTCCCTACCCCTAGGAGAAAAGCCAGCTCCCAGTTGCCCAAACCTCAATCTGTGAAACAAGGCTTTTGACAATTATAGTCCATGCCCCACACATGTAACAACAGAGGGACTGTCAATTTACGCTCCCCTGTAATCTCACCCTCCTACCCCCTCTCTAGAACTCCTAGCAAAAGATCAACACTTGGGATTCTATTCTAGATACATTCTGGTCAAGAAAAAAGGAGGAGTGAGACATATCCTAGACCTGAGAGGCCTAAACAAGTACATGTCAATTAAAAAGTTCAGAATGATTTAGGCCTGTAGCCAAGATTGTTTTCGTTGGGGGCATTTAAAATTTTTGGAGGCAGTTTAAGTTAATTAAATTAAATTAATCGGGCATCAAGGCTATGTTCTTAGGATTATGCCTTGGCTGTCTGCATTCATCCAGAATAACCCCAGTTCCCTCCTCACAGTTGCTGGAGGTCCATGTGGGCAGTCACCGTGGGAAGGTAATGAATGGAGCAAGTGGCCGGTTCTCTACCTGCTAGGGTGGTGAGCAGGCGGGCAAGGAGTCTGCTGTGCTGCCACGTCATGGCTCCTCCCCTGGCACAGGCGCAAAGAGAGGCCTGACACAGACGCACTGCAGAGAGGCAGCACAGCAGCCTCCTCACCTGCCCACTCACTTGCTGCCCTAGTAGGTAGAGAACCAGCCGCTCATTCCATTCATTACCTTCCCAGGGTGATGACTGCCCGCATGGACCTCCAGCAACTGTGAGGAGGGAACTGGGGTTATTCTGCCTGCCTGCTGCCCTGGCACCTGGCCAGGTAGAGAGCTGGCTGCTTGCTCTCCAGCCAGCACGACTTAATAAATATTCTTGCATGGCTTTTTATGGGGCATGGCTTATACTTAAGGGGGTAGGGCACCAAAATGCCCCGCTGTAGCTACGGGCCTGACTGGACTTACTAGATGCATATTTCCACATCAAGATAAGGCCAGATCACCAAAAGTACCTCCACTTCCGATGCAGTTTCCACCAATTCCAATACACAGTCCTCTCCTTCAGACTCACTACAGCACCCAGAGTATCCACCAAGGTGCTAGCAATAGTAGTATCTTACCTGAGGAAATGGGAATGCGAGATATACCCTGTGACACCCCTTTTCCACTCACACAGAATACCTACCACTTCTACAACCTCTCTTCTTCAGGTTATTTGTTATACATAGATCAGGACATCACATGACCACCTCACACTTTGGCTCCTCTCTCTTCAGTCCCAGAGACATCCACAGACAGGGTAGCCCAGCCCCTTTTAATAGTTAGTGCTCATTCACACAGAACTATTGGGATCATACACTGTTCCAATCACTCGCTGCCACCATTCATTCCTATCCTATATTATATGTGTATACATTGAGATATTAAATTGTGTGTGTGTGTGCTTCTTCCCCTTAGACACACAGCCCACAGGGTTAATCAAAGCAAAAAACTTATTTATAAGAATAAACACTGAGGAAAGTGAAGTCTAAGAATCGACAGTTCATTTCCAATGAACTTTTGAACTGAACTATACCTACCACTGGGATCCTTTAGTTACAAAGTTACTATTTTCAGCCTGTTCCAAGCAGCTCTTCTATACGGTTCCCCTCAGTCAGAAAACCCTCTTTTTCACCTCAGTGCTTAAGCTGTCTACTTGTCTGCTGCTAACCCCTATAACTGTCATTTTTCAACTGCTGTTTTCAAGTCTCCTTTTCTCAATGTTCCATCTGCTCTCATTGGCTCCTATTAGGGAGAGGCTGAACCTGGCCTGTCTGTCATGTACCCATACGCTGATGACTGGCCACTTGTAGCCGATTCAAAATTAAAACTCCTTTCAGACTTACACTTTACGGTGCAGTTACTTTGAGCACAAGATTTACAGGACATTACAAAGAAATCCAAGCTGGGACTGACAGTCATGGTTCCCGGCACTACTGGCCATGTCCCACAACCATTACATTCCACTCCCACAGAGGCAGAACCTACTGCTACAGAGTCCCTTCTTCCATTCAGACATTGGCAGCCTACATTTAACAGTGCGGCTCATTCAGTAACTAACAGGCAATTTTCTGAGTCCATTAAGGAATTCCTGCTTAATGCCAGAAAACCTTCCATCTGTTGCTCCTACTCAGCCAAGTGGAAACAATTCAGTAGATGGGCTACAGAAAAACACTTGGATCAGTGAAGAAAAGGTCTTCAAGAACCTCAGTCAGAAGAGGACTCACATCCACCTCCTTTGAATTCACTTTGCCACTGTAGCGTGCTTCCATGTTCAGGCTGATGGGAGTGCCTATTTGCCCAAAGAGAATCAAAACATTTCATCAAAGGGCTACTGAACTAATTTCCATCAGTTCAACTCCCAGTGGAGCTTCACACTGGTGCTCCCTCAACTTATGGGCAAACTATTTGAACCAATGGCCACTTGCCACATTCACCCCCTCACTATGAAAACTGTTTTTCTAGGGGTGATAACACCAGCCAGGCATGTCAGCAAATTACTGACACTGAGACACAACCACCCCTTTCTGAAAATATTTGATACTAAAATAGTCCTTCACACCTCTATGTAGTTCTTACCTAAAGTAACATCCATTTAAACACAAATATCACTTCGCCAGTGTTACATCCTCAGTCACAAGACATAAGAGAACAAGCCCTTCTTAGATGTTAGAAGAGTCCTCCTCTTCTATCTAAATAGAACAAAATCCTTTTGAAAAGATGACAACCTACTGATAATTTCAGTAGGCTCCACAAGGGCAAAAAACTGTCAGCCCGATCTATCTTGAGATGGAACACCACATATATCAGACTAAGTTATAAACTGGCATGAGTTGACTGCTCACTGAAGATGCATGCCCATGCTTCCTGGGCAGTCGACATCTGCGTCTTTTTGCCGTGGGCTCTCCATTGACTCCATCGGCAAGACTGCAGAGTTGTCCTGCTCCTGCACCTTTGCAAGACAGTACATGATGGATGTGGATGCCATGAGAGATGCAGCAGTGAGAAGAGCAGTCCTGCAGTCTCTATTCAACTGAAAGCTCACACCCGCCTGCCTAAGACCGGTAAATCAGCTTGCTAATCTCTCATGTGGTACCATGACAATGAAAACAGGGTTGCACTTACCTGTAATCGTCGCTCATCAAGTGGTCATCTGTGCAGTCACACAACCGTCCCTTCTGCCCCTCTATGAGCTCTTAACTCGGTCTGGTAACCTTTACCTCTCTCCAGAGGCAGCAGAGAGGAAATGAGGTAAGGGCGCTCTGCTCCCTCTATATCACACTGGAAGAGGCAGGAAACAGAGTCAGGGAGGAGGAGCACTTCTAGGCATTTTGAGCTTCAAAAAATACTCTCCGCAGCAGGCCTGTACATGCACAGTACCCATATGTGATTGCACAGGTGACCATGTGATGAACAACAGGTACAGGTAAGTACAATGTTGTTTTCCTATTAGCATAAATAAAATATAACCTTGACAGTATTATACTTTGTGACTGATTTGCTTTATGCTGGGATTTCTCTGGAGAAGAAACCCTCCTAATCAATAGTTGACTGACAATTTGGCCAATTTCATTGTTTCTACATGACATGTAGTCCCAGGACTATGAGTGAGAAGTACGAGTATGAAAAAGGAAGAAGGCATGAGATATGCTTCTGATTAAGTGGGCTCTAAACCATCAAAAGCTAGAATGAAAATGTGTTAGTCTCTATGATGCTACAAGATTCCTGTTTGGTTTTTTCCTGCAACAGACTAATGTGGCTATGTCTGTGTTATATTCAACCCTAGTCAATACAAATTGTGTGTAAACGTTTTGAAATCTCATCTAAAGTATAACAACTTGGGTTGCTTCTGAAAGCAACGTTCCACTTCAAAACAACATAGCTACAATCAATAATCAACAGTTTCCCCATATTCTGACTGCTTTGTTAATAGAATTTTTATTCATGGCAACTTTGTAGAATCACATCATTATGAAAAAAGGAAATAACATGAAAAATTCCTAATTCAAGAGGATTTTGGTCATCTATGTCAATCTGTTGAGGACCACACCATTTGGAGTCTAAATAGTGGACCACACATGCTATGGAGTCTAAATAGTGATTCCTAGACACATACTGCTTCAATGACATGTCAAATGTCCCAGAAACCCAGTATGGCAGAGTGTTAGGGAGTCAGACTGAGATGAAGGAACTATTGTTCAAGTCTCCACTTGCCTATAGATCTCTCTGGATGACCTTGAGCTAGTCATTCTGTCAAAACCCCACTACCTTGCAGGATTGTTGTAAAGATAAAAAGAGAACAATGTATGTCATCCCAAGCTCCTTGGAGGAATGGCATGATAAAATGTAATAAATAATAAGCAAGGGTAATATTAAGGAGAATGTGGTATTTCAGCTTCTTATTGGGGTTGAAATGAATTGGGATATTGGAGTCTTTCAGCTTGTTACAAGGTTTGCCAAGGAATCTTAAGGAAGTGTGGCTTACATTCTTATCCAGTGCAGAGTTATACGAATCTAAGCTCTTATAAATCAATTAACCCAAACCTAATTCTGCATAGGACCAAGCTGCCAAGCACATCTCAGTTTCAGCTTTAGTAGTCTTGTCTGTTTGTTCCCAGTAAAATAGCTTAGTAATTTGTGTTCTTCCTAATTATTGGAGACATACCAGTGGGTGGTGGTGTTTCTGCTTGTTTGGTGCCAGTTTGGTGTAGTGGTTAAGTGCGTGGACTCTAATCTGGGAGAACCGGGTTTGATTCCCCACTCCTCCACTTGCACCTGGCTGGATGACCTTGGGCAAGCCATAATTCTGGCACAGCTGTTCTTGAAAAAAGAGCAGTTTCTGTCAGATTTCTCTCAGCCCCACCTACCTCACAGGGTGTCTGTTGTGGGGAGGAGAAGGGAAAGGAGTTTGTAAGCCGCTCTGAGACACCTTTGGGTAGTGAAGGGTGGGGTATAAATCCAATCTCTTCTCTTCTTGTTGTTAAATTACACAAAAAAATATATATTTCCCTGCTTCCTCTTATTCACTAGACCAAAGAAGAAAGAGAAAAATCTGAAAAACGTATATTTTTGCAGGAGAGCACTACATACCTTGATTCTCAGGTAAAAAATGCTCAGATCCTTATGGTTTAAAAATAATTTTTGTGGCACTGACTCATTGGTGGACAGGAAGAATACTAGGGGAAATAATAATGTGATAAGGTCCACAAGACCTCTTTGAGACTTATTCCCTAGAATCTCAGTGGGTAGAGCTTAGAATCATTTGATGTCATGTCTGTATATGCATGCATTTATATACTAGATACCCCTTGCAAACAATATGCTAAGTAATACAGTGTTAAAAATTTTCTCTTATATGCTTCACATATTAAAGTACATAGCAGGTTTCCCAGTACATCCATACACCTTAGAAAGTCTTTTCTCCCTTGTCATATATTTCTGTCAGTCAGAAGTGTGTAGAAATATGCTTGCATTGGGCACATGTTAATTTTTATGATCTTTCACTATAAAGGCAGTTAGTGTGCACACAGTTCCTAATGGATGCAACAAAGACCTCTTTCTTTCCCTACTCTTTCTGGCATGTATAGTACTGCATATTCAGGTATTACTGGACTGTTACTGGGAATAGGAAATCTGTGCCTACTCTCTTTATTCCTAGAACTTGCACTGAGTGGTAGGGCAGGACTGGATGGGGATATAAGGAATGTTCCTAGTTTCCAGTAACAACCTGTTGTGCTGCCTGCATATCTGCTCATCTCTGTGTGCTAGGGTGGGAGAGAAATAGGCCTGTGGGATTCCACCTGCTTCCAGTGGAGAAGGATTATTCTATAACTGAATATCATAAAAATGTAAAGTGCAGCCTTTGACTTCTCTAATTGCTATAACAAGTTGAAGTCTTACAAAGTTTTTCATGAAGCTGCAAAAGGAATATTTCACTGGCAGTAGGATCACTTCTCATCAAACTAATAGGCAGAAGACTGTACTGTTCTTTCATTACTCCATATAAATGGGCACAGTATATACATTTTAACTAAAATCTCACACATCTTTCTCTCTCTCCAAAAGATAAGAGTTTGCACTATTTGCACAACAGTTAAGCATGTTTATTTAGAAGCAAATATGATTGATATGATTGTAAGTATGCTTAGAATGGAATCTTTGGATTATAACATACCAGATGACTAATTGTAAATTAAATTGTGTCCCCATAAAACTGGTATAAATATTTCCAGGAGTCACTGGTATGTTGAGAAAATTACTAAAACAAAGTGATTTTCTTCTGGTATAATTTATTTTGGACCTTAGTTTCTACAAATTTCAGTGTTTAAATTGTCTGTAGGCTTTTGAAGCCATTAGAATTCACAAAACTTGTATTTTGAGCATGGTACCATAAATGTCCTAAAAGGTATTATATTTCACTTTCCTAATGCAGAGATAAACAATTAGCTGTTCTAATTTAGCTTTTATATTTCAAATATAGGGCACTGAGGATTGGGTTATTGTAGACAAAGTACCCACTGAGGTAGTTGATGGTGAATCGAAATCCATTGTGACATACAAAGTAATGACTGTGAGCGGTAAAACTGGTGACATCCCAGCCAAGCTTTTAAAACCCACTGCCACTGATATACAGACCTTTGAGGACTTGGAAGGTGAATTGCAGTTGAAAGATGACAATAAGCAGAAAATGTACACTGTAGGAAAATCGTACGATACCATTTCTGGGAAAATTGTAACCATGACCACTAAAGTAAAAGAGGGAGAAAAATGCGTGCCATCGTCACTTGAAGCATTACAAAAAACAGAAAGGGCTATACTAGAATCTGTGAAAATCATTCCTGTAGTAGCAGAGTATGAAATTCTAGAACCGATCACAGATGGAAACGCCCGAAGGTTGTCTGATGCAAAAAGAAGGGTATCAGAATCATTGACTCCCATTAAAGAGGCAGATTCCCGGCTGCAGAGTCCTGAAGAGGAAAGTTTGAAGAAGACCCAGAAAACAGATCAGGATTTGCGCCTGCATGACACACTGGGAAGCGTGCAGATGACCAGAGCTGAAAAACCTCTGGACAGTGAAAGACTAAAAGGAGAGCCGTTTGGTCGAAAAGATAAGAGTATATCAGAATGGAAATATTCCAGAGAGCCACCCTTTACTATTGCTACTGCTCACTATGTTACTGAATCATCAGCATCAAGAGTAGTGGTAACATGCAACTTTGCCACAGTTTAAAGATAAAAGCATGACTTCTTTAGGCAATATGCTCACTACCCTGCCTTTTGGTCCTTTTGCTGCCTGGCTTTATGTTGACAACAGCCGACCCAGCTTCTTATTATTTCCTCATGGTTTGTCAATTAACACAATACAAAGCAGGCATTTTTGGGCTTTTAAACTTCTAAAAATCAGTGTTACTGAAATATAATATCTTGCTATGGCTTCTTTTGAAGGGGGAAAAATGCTTCACAAGACCAGCAAAATCCCAGTGCTAACTACTTTGCTTTTTAGATTACTGCTTATAGTCATTACAGATTTGGGCTCATTTATTTTCCCATTATTTTCCTCTCTGTACCCCTGCCACTTTCCCTCCCCTCTTTGTCTCTACTTTCGCTAGTTAACATAACCTGTGTATGTCTGTCTGTCTGCCTCTCTTTGTGTGTGTGACTCTGCATTTCTCTGTTTAGACAAAACAACTCTCCAGTGAAAAAACTTTGGATGGTTCAGATATCTTCACTTTAATAGACTCTGCAAGAAAACCAACTGAGTTCATAGGAGGGGTCACAACTACTTCACATAGCTGGGCTCAGGTGGCCATTTGATTCCGTCTTTAGATTTTAATATGGGTCTGTGCTTTTGGGAGGCGGGGAATGTTCCTTATATTTTGCATATAAGTGTGTGACCTCACTTATGTGCTCAAGCTTCCTCAGAATTTGCATGGGGGAAGACCTTGTCTCCTTTTATGCTTGAATCACATATAAAAACCATGGAGGAAAATTTGTGTCTTTATTTGTTTTGCTTGGCTTTAACCATTATGTTTGCTTGAGGACCTCAGAACTGCAGGACTGATATGTAAACAGAATGCTATGTAATATCATCGGACTGTAAATACTAAGGCCTATATACTACTAAGCCCTGACCTGGATAGCCCAAGCTAGCCCGATCTTGTCAGATCTTGAAAACTAAGCAGGGTCAGCTCTGCTCAAACAATCTCTGCATGTCTCTTGCCTTGAAAACCATAAGGGGGTCACCATAAAATGGCTGAGATTTGACAGCAAACCTCTCTCTCTCTCTCTCTCTCTCTCTCTCTCTCTCTCTCTCCCCCCCCCCTAAAGCTACACCAGCATCAAAACCTAAGCATCTCACAAAGAAACAAAGTGGATAAGCTTAGTAGTTTTAGTAATGTAATACATTACTAATACATTAGTGATACATCACATTGGTTTCTTCCATTAATTCTTTCCCAGATGGTTCAAAGTTGAGGTAGCCTGCTCTCTTGGGAAAATGCCTCCAGGTGCTGTAGGCGAGATCTTTAGATTTTAATGACACCCCCACACACAAGAGAGAGAGGGGGGTTCCAGTGATGCTTCCAGCCCAGCCCTACTAGGCTAGGAGACAGTATAGATTATGGGCTTCACTCTTCCAGGAGTGATGACCCCAGAACTCCACAACCAGGATCCTTCTCCTCTCTCCTTTTAGCAAACGTCTATAGGCTTGGATTGGTGCGCTGAAATGGGCAGGGAGGGGGCAGACTGGCTTTACAGGAGATCTTCTACCCAACATTCTCTTCTCGTCCAAAGATATCGGGGGGGGGGAGGCACACTTTGCACTTCAGCTTGTGAGGTTGATACCGCAGCAAAATGCCAATGGAATAAAAGCTTCCCCTCCTCAGTCCTAGTCTTCAGAGTGTGGAGACAGGCAGTTGCAAAACGAGTGTGGAGACAGGCAGTTGCAAAACGATTAACAGGACTTGGATAAAGAGCAGGAAGTCTCTACTTGCCAATAGAGCATGATGGCAGTGTGCATGGGCTCAACCAGCCAGTATTTCTACTGAAGACTTCATTGGGGCTAGTCTCACCTGTCTCTCCTCTCACCTTAAACCATGTGCTGCTAACTGAATCCTCCTTATGTACAGGGATGGTGGAGGGGAGTCCTTTAACTGATTTCTTAGGGGAAATGGCTTAGCAAAACCTCTTGGATTAAAAATCTTGGCAGGCTTTAGGGGAGCTGACCCAACCACCTCCCCGTACCACTCTGACTGCCATAAAAACCTCAGAAAGCACAAACATGACCAAAAGAAAGAACCATTCCCTTTCCTGCTCCAGCATGGGTGTAGGGAGGAGGCCTCACAGGACATTTCCCACCCTCTTCTTCCCTTGACAAGAAGAAAATATACAGTTCTCTCTTTCTGAGGAAAATATCCTCAACTTCAGGTGGAATTGATTGCATAGCTCCCTTCTTGACCACTGGTGTCTGATTACTTCACGAGGAAGGGCCTCTTGAAGAGGAAGGGCCTCTTGAAACTCCTCCTCAAGCTTGCTCCCCCCTGCCCGCCTGTCCCCATGTTTCAAAAACAGCTTCCAAAAGTCATTAGAGTTCTTGAACCCTCCAGTGAGAGGCTTCCCCCATCTGTCCATGGGGTCTTGTATGGCTTTCCTCAGATGGGAACCACACCTCTTCTGCTGTTCTGTCAGTCTTTAATAACATCATGCATGTGCAATTGGAATAGGACATTCCTCCCAGGGCAGAATCCACCCAGCAACTGGTTTCTCAGATTTATTTATTTATTTCAATTTGTATCCCACCTTGCCGGGGAACTGTTTTATTAATTCCTGTGATCTCAGAGTGCTTCAGAACATTTTATGTAGATGTCCCAATAGCAGATCTGACTTCTAATTCAGTCTTACTGGAGGAATCAGATGTGACAAGAGGACCAATTTGATTAAGTAAAAAACTTCAAAGTTTCTTCTGCAGCACTAAGAGCATCTACAGCTGGCTCTTTGTTTGCTAGGACCATATATCTGGGCTAGTTATCTTTTCTTCAGTGGATAACAATGTTCCACAAGAGTTGAAGGGCAAGCTGAAGAAAAATTTCCTTGGCAGCAGCCTGCACTTGTGTGTGCATCCCTTGGATACCATCCAAGTATCAGCAAGATCCAAGGTATCAAATGTTGCTGCCTGCAGGAATACAAGAGCTTTGCCGTTTGGAAATAGATGCAGCACTGCAAGCAGGCTTTGCTGCTTTTCCACACAAAAGTATTAACTCTTTGGGGACTCTCTGTGTTAGATACGAGACTCAGGCAGCAGGTGAACAGTGATTAACAGCTTTATTGAACACGAAGTCAGAAGAACCAGAACGAGACAAACTATGGAGCAACAGGCTCCTTTTTAAACAATCCGGGCTTGGCAAGCCACGCCCATGTCAGCTAAGGTCCAATCAAATACTGTACATAAAGACCAATCATTTCTCTTCCCTCCAGAACTTCCTGTGTTCTGATAGGCCATTTTACAATACCTTTCAGATTACATACACAACACTCTGGATCCCTTCCCAGTTTAAAAAAACAAACACACAGGAAAAAGGCTTTAACTACCAGAATATAAGAGAAAAGAATCATGCAAGAAAAATCTCTATCCTTTTGAGAGCTCATCTTCACCTCTAAATCCAGGAATTACCAGAACCTCAAAAACAAGTTACAAAGATCTAAAACTCTGCAGAAGGACCCTGACCATTGTCTAACAAGTCTTCCCGTCTAGCCATGGGATTGGAGAAAGAAACCTTAGTAGCATGATGCTAACAGCATTGGTCTTCTCTGGGCAAGGGGGGGGGGTCCCAAAATTTTGCAGAAATATCATAGCAGTCGTTTTCTGATTGGTGGGTGCTAGGGACAATAACTGAGGATATTCTTTTGAAGTAGAAAGAACTTGCATCAAATTTGTTCACATTCCAAAACACCAGTGCTCTGCCAGGCATTGACTTCCACATTAGAGTTTAACTCTCTTTAATAATCCTAAAGAAAAATGAGGGTATGTGGGTCATCCTGGACTTAAAATGGCTAAATTGCTGGATTAGAGCAGCCATCATTCCGGGAGACTTTCTGACATGGGTGGACTTGTCAATTTACATGCACATTCTCATACAATAAGCCCAGAGGAAATTCCTACACTTGACTTGCAATATAGGGCCCTTGCCCGATAACTGCAGACAGCGCCATCAATTGGTGTTTCAGTGTACTTATACTTTCACAGTTTCTCCTGGAAAGACTAGACAAAAGATCTTTCCTCATACAATGGCACAAACACCTTCCCATGTGTTATTATATATCCTGTTGATAGAAGTATTGCATGACACCATGAGTGCAGCAATAACCTCCTTAGAGTACCTTATCTTTCAGTCCTCCTAAGCAGTCTTGAAGGCAAAGATAGTTTGGGCTAGCCATCGAACTGAAGTTCATGGTTAACTTCTATAAGGAGTTAACATAAACGGACATGCAGACTGAAGTGACCACATCTAGGCAACAGTTCAAAATTCTGTTCTGTCCATATGTAGAATAGTAATTTTTTTTCCAGGCTAGTTGCTCATGTGACTGGCTCTGCCTGACCAACTGCCATTTTGTAACTGGTTCTTGGAAAAAATTAAGTAGCTCCCAGAAACCTGAAGTTTACCTTCCCCTGCTCTAAAGACAGCAGCTGTTTTTGCAGCAAACAGGAGTCTTCCACCCATTTATGGGACAGTCAATGAGCATATCCGTTCATTTGCCACTGCTGCATATTGTGTGTGTGGGGGGGGTTAATCCTCCTTGGCAGCATTTGGCAGAAAGATTTTGCACATCCCAGAGCACAGACTGGCCCCCCCCCCCGACCCACTGTAGAAAGGAAAATTTGTTCACTTACAATGAATTTCCATTTTCTCCAGTTCCAGAGTAGCACAATGTTCCCACCTTCCCCCACCCATTAAAGTCATGCAGTGCTCTGCAGGTATGAGAACCTTGGAGTGGCCTCTGAAAGGAGAGCCTCCACCAATTCTAGCATACTTATGTCCTGTGGGATGCCCTCTGCTCTTTACAGGGTTTTCCCCCCACTTTCCTCTTTTCTATGTTTGCTGCCTTGATGGATGTTGGAGAATGTTTTCTTAAGGCTTTCTTAATGTTTAAAGTGTATAGCAGAGGCTTTTTCAAGAGATGGTCTGGGAGCATTGTGGGAAGCCCCTCTGATTGGGGCCATCAAGGCCTAGCAACCCTGCCTGCAACCATGGGCATCCCTTTCCCGGGAGGACCAACTGCCCTATCCTGAAACCTCCGAGAATGAACCCTGACAGTAAGTGGATTTTCCCCCCTTTTCCCCTGCAGAGAACGGAAGGGAAGACTGATCGGGAGGTATGCTCTGATGAAAAGAAGACAGAGGAGGAGGAGGAGGAGCAGCAACAGGAGACGGTGATGAAGGTTGTGCAGGAAACTGTATTGGTCGAGGAGAGAGATGTGATAAATGTGCATGCAAGTGGGGATGCTGCTAATTTGGCTGGCGCTCAGCTGGATGCTACGGCACAGGCAATGTCTCATGTGGCACCTGGCACCCAAGGGAAGGAGGGCTGTGCTGTGACTGAGGGGGCTAAAGAGGAAAAAGGGCAGGAGACTGAGCAAGCCGTAACCAAACAGGAAGAAACTGGCACTGTTTCTCACGATCAAGAGGAGGAGCAGAGTGCAGCAGCCCTAGTTTTGGATGTACTGGAAAGGAAACCTCTTTTTGAGGTAACTAACTTCTAATCAGTCAATTCTACAAAAAAAGGCATAAATAGATGCATTTTTAAATACTGAATTCATTAATGAACATGTTAGACTGTTGTTGCTGTTTAGTGAGCAGTTTGTTTCTCCTCTTAGGATAGGGCTGCTTCCCAGCAGTTGTTTCTTCCATGGATGGCTTTCACAAAGAAAAGCTGTGTTTTCACTATAAAATATGATTGCGCTGTAACATATGAAAGTTGTACATGTATTTATTTCTCTGCATATTCATGAAGTGAAATACATGTGACAACATATACATTGCATAGAAGCTGTTTTCCTACATGGATATATGGGATCTTTGTAGGAAACATCCCATATGAAACAGTCCATTTTTCCTCCCTTGCATGGCAATCTTGGCGCTTGCTGCTTGTTTCTGGGGGGGTTTTGTTTTGAGTTCAGGCAAGGCACATCTTGTAGTCTGCCCAAAAGAATGTGTGCTGCTGAGCATCAGTGCCTAGCCATGCTAAGTATTGTGACAAATCTTACCAGGAACACAGGATTTCAATGGGCTGTTCAACAGAAAGATCAACCCCTGTTGATCTTCCTTATCTAGGCAAAAAGCTTTTCCCCTGAACTTCTCATGCCTACAGAGTTCCAGATGATTAATAGAAATTCTCTAATTGACATCTATATGACTTAACCTGCTTTTGATCATATTGAAGGAAAATAAGCTTATATGAACCTGAGCAATTACAACACAAAAATTAAGCTAGAAATTACATGGCTTACTCCTCTTTAAAGATGTTCGACATTAAATACAGTCCTGGTTTAGATATAAATGTTGCTGTAACGTGCTGGTGATGCATATTTGAGCGTTTTGTTTTACAGTGGGAATCTTTGTTCTCAGCATATGTAGTAACAGAGTAGATTCATCTTCTATTTTATTCCGCAGTTGTTTTAGAACTCCATAACTTTAATATTCCCTGGAATTACCTTTTTTCTTTAAAACAGTCGCCGATAGTGAAGACTGAAACAATCAGTTTTGGAGGTGTTTCTTCAGCTGGGGAGAAAACTGAAATTTCTATAAAGGAAGTGCCCATCGTCCATACTGAAACAAAAACGATTACATATGAGTCATCTGAGGTAAGAAATACTATATTCTCTTGGACCTAACAGAATGTAGGCAGGTGCTAAGAAGATGAATGACACTCAGTATGCCCTGCTCCCAAGGATTGCATTGAATCTTGCCTCAGGAACCTTCTGATACAGTTTTGGTCTTAGCTTGTTGAACTTTCTAGCTGTCTTTATGTTTTATAAATAATTATCCTACACATAATACTTAAATACTGGAATGGAGACGTAAAAATGCTATCAATTGGAAAGGCAAGTAAAACATTTTCTCCAGTTCTCATTATGTCAGAGGTTCAGCATCAGGATTTTTCAGGTGCCAAATCCAGTTTTTCTAAAGGCTGAACTAGACAAGACCCGGAAGGTCTGTGTTTGGATACTTTCTATTTTTAAAAACTTTTGTAAATAACAGCTGGGGACAGGGTAAGTGTTGGATCAAGACTAAAGAGCTAGGTAAACCCTTCCCCTCATTCCCTTTTACTGATGAAAATCAATCCCCTAAAAGAGAAGAAGAGAAAAGATTAGATTTATACCCCGCCCTTCACTTGAAGTCTCAGAGCAGTTTACAAACTCCTTTCCCTTCCCCTCCCTACAACAGACACCCTGTGAGATAGGTGGGGCCGAGAGAGTGCTGTCCTTGAGAGAACAGAGCTGTCCTTGAGAGAACAGTTCTGACAGAGCTGTGGCTTGCCCAAGGTCATCCAGCAGCTGCAAGTGGAGGAGTGGGGAATCAAACCCAGTTCTCCCAGATTAGTCTCTGCACACTTAACCACTACACTACTCTGGTAGAGTTTTAAATAGCAGCCCTCCTAGGCCAGTCACATTAATTGAAACATTGGCTAGCCCCTCATTCTGTATCCAGATTGCCTTCCCTCCCCCATCCAGCTATTAATCGTGTCTCGTGTAGTTTGTTCCTAATTTGAATGAAAAGTTGTGAATTAAAAATTTGTAGAGAAGAAGAAGAAGAGATTGGATTTATACCCCGCCCTTCACTACCCAAAGGTGTTTCAGAGCGGCTTACAAACTCCCTTCCCTTCCCCTCCCCACAACAGACACCCTGTGAGGTAGGTGGGGCTGAGAGAGTTCTTGACAGAAACTGCTCTTTTTCAAGAACAGCTCTTATCAGAACTACGGCTTGCCCAAGGTCATCCAGCCAGGTGCAAGTGGAGGAGTGGGGAACCAAACCCAGTTCTCCCACATTCGAGTCCGCGCACTTAACCACTACACCAAACTGGCTCTCTGGAATATATATCCTCTTGAACACATACATGATGTGGTGAAGGGGTTTGCGTGTGTCAGCAAAGCTGAGAGTCACTTAAGGTGGAATGGCCACAGCTGACACCCTACCTCCTTCAGGAATCAACAGCCACATCAGCAGAAGAGAACAGACAGTTCCAGTGGTGATGGGGGCATCACCTTGAAGGGTAGCTAGTGGGCGGCAGCAGTAGTGGAAGATGACACTGGCAGAGGATCTTTCATAGACAACAGCAGTGCCATTTCAGCTAACACTGGTTAGTACTGCACAGAAGGCAACCATGGTAAACCACTTCTGAGCGTTTCTTTCCTCGAAAGTCCTATGACGAGACAATCCAGAATGAAAAAAGATATTGTGTGCTGGATGACAGGACCCCCAGGACAGATGGCACTCAATCAGCTACTGGGGAAGAGGTGAAGGATGAGTAGTGTTGTTCTTAATAACACAACTATTGATATGAGTGGATGCAAAAGGAAAGCCCTATGATCTTTGACATATATAATAGGAACATGGAATGTGAGGAGTATGAATCAAGATAAGCTCAAAATCGTGAAATGAGAAATGGAATGTTTAAACATTGCAAGCCTTGGAGTAAGCAAGCAAAAGTAGACTGGACATTTTCAGTCAGAAAATTATGAAGTGTTTTACTTGGGGAATGACAAACACAGAAGAAATAGTTGCTTTAATAGTGAGGCACTATGTAGCATAGGCAGTCAGGGGCTATAATGCTAAGCCTGACCGAATAATATCAATCAGACTTCATGGAAAGCCTGTCAGTATAACTATCATTCAAGTTTATGCCCCAACTACAGATGCTGATGAGGAAAAATTGAAAGCATTTATGCTTAAGAAAAGAATCTAATCTGAATCATTTCTGAATTTGTTGGAAATGATTCCGGTTAGATTCTTTTCTTAAGAATGATTGGTAGCCCAATTTTGAAGCCTTTTCTTCTACCACTTTGAACCTTGATGGTATGTAAAACTGATATTGGAGATTTAAATGAATATAGCTATACCTGTATGTTACTGAAAACAGTCGTTTTCTGAAGAAGATATCTGAAATGAAGTATGTATCTGGAACCTTTGTAGGATGGATTTTGGACTTAATGGATTTTTTGCACTCTTTATATAAACCTATTGGACCTTTCTTGAATGTTGTTAAATTTGTTGTGATGTATTTTTCTACTATTATATAGTGATATACCTGTTGATATCTTTCTGATACATACTGTTAATCCTGTTGCAAGGTTTGAATCTACAATAGACGTTAATAGAATCTACACTAAACGTGATTATAGTTGTTTAACTTTATTAGTGTTTATATTTCACAGTCGTTGTTACATACGTCATTATAGATTTGGGCTAGGAGCATGAAATAAAGCAGAAGAGGCAACGATTTGTTAATTGCAAACACATCTTTCAGGCAACCAAATAGATGATTGTATATGTGAAATCACCAGGTAACCAATATAGAAAGCAAACAGATTATGTACTTGGAAACAGAAGATGGAGAAGCTGAGTTCTGTCTGCTAAAATAAGTCCATGAACTGATACATACCATGAATTTTTAATATTAAAATTAGAGTAAAGCCAAAGAAAAGCACCAAAACATTTGTAATACCAAAATACAATCTAGACAAAATTCCTGAAGAGTTTAAAGACTGTGTAAAGAACAGATTTGCATCACTAAGTTCAAGTGAACATGAACCAAAAGAACTGTGGGTTGAAACCAGAAATATTATCAAGAAAGAATGTGCAAAGATTATTCCTGTAGCCAAAAGAAATGAAAAGCCTCAGTGGATGACATATGGAACTCTAAAAATTGCTAAAGACAGATGAGAAGCAAAAGTAAAAGGTGACAGAAATAGAATCAGAAGTCTAAATGCATTGTTCCAGTGACTTGCACATACAAATGAAGAGAACTATTATAATAACCAGTGTAAAGTAATAGGAGAGAACAACAAAAAAGGAAGAACAAAAGTTCTGTTCCACAGCCCTGACCTGGATAGCCCAGGCAAGCTCGATCTCACAAAATCTCGGAAGCTAAGCCGGGCCGGCCTAGGCAAGTACTTGGAAGGGCAACCTCCAAGGAATACCAGGGCCAGGATGCAGAGGCAAGTAATATCAAAGCCACCTCTATGAAAATGTCCTAGCCCCACTAGGGGTCACCAGAAGTCACCATGACTTCCAGGCTCACAAGCACATACACATATGCACACATGCACAAAATACAAAAAAAAAATCTGTTCCACAACATCCAAAAAATCAATGGGAAATTTAAAGCATGGTTGGGCGTGCTGAAAGATCAACATGGAAATACATTAACTGAACAGGACAAAATAAAGAAAAGTAGGGAAAATACACTTAAAAACTGTATAGACAAGAAAGGATGGCAGATTCCTTCAAAGAATAATATTTTGAAGAAGAACCTGTTTGTAAGCCGTCATGAGCCGGCCCAGGCCTGGGAGGGTGGGATAAAAATCTAATAAATAAATAAATAAATAAACCTTCAGTTTTCGAAAGTGAAGGGAAAGTGGCACTCAAAGCAGTTGTGAGAAATAAATCACCAGGAGTAGATGGGATATCAATAGAGCTACTTCAAGCCACAGAAATACAGCCCATCAAAATCTTAACAGTATGTCAACAAATATGGAAAATAAAGTAATGGCCCACAGGCTGGAAATGCTCAGTCTATATTTTAACTCTGAAAAAAGGACATATCAGACACTGCAACAACTATTAGACCGTCACATTAATTTCTCATACAAGTAGAGTGATGCTTTAAATCTTACAACAAAGACTGTCTCATTCCATATATGGAATGAGAAATGCCAGATGATCAACCTGGATTCAGAAGATGAAGAGGCACTTCTATAGAAATATTGATTTCTAAAAAACCCTGCCTTCCCTTGGAATGTTTTGCTGATACCCTGCTGTGTTGCATTTCCTATTGAAGCCAAATGGCTTGAACATTTGGTCAGAGAAGGCCATTGCCATGCCTCCGGGGAGGGCGGGATAAAAATGTGAATAATAAATAAATAAATAAATAAATAAAAACACATTCTTCACACTTCCATGCTGACAGAGAACAGATGGCCTCTGCAAGCATGTCAGAAACGCACGTAGCCCATGGACTAGCTGGAGCTGGGGTCACATGACTGCGGGTGTGGCCTTCAGTGTCCTGACCATTCAGATGTTGCACCCATGGCAACTAAACAATTGGACACTCCTATTCCCAGTAGTCATGTATGGCTGCGAGAGATGGACTATAAGGAAGGCCGAGTGCCGAAGAATAGATTCTTTTGAACTATGGTGCTGGAGAAGACTCTTGAGAGTCCCTTGGACTGCAAGAAGATCAAATCAGTCAATCCTAAAAGAAATCAACCCTGACTGTTCCCTGGAAGGCCAGATAATGAAACTGAAGCTCAAATACTTTAGCCACCAAATGAGAAGAGAGCACTCACTGGAGAAGACCCTGATGCTGGGAAAGATTGAAGGTCAAAGAAGACGGGGATGGCAAAGGATGAGATGGTTAGACAGTGTCATAGATGCAACCAGGGGTCATTTGGGGGGGGATGCGGGGGGACGCCATCCCCCCGGGTGAGGTGATTTAACTTCAATGCACTTGTTTTGAACAATAAAACAACACATTTAAGTGATTTGCAGCTTGGGGTCTGCAGTAGGGTTGCCAGGGGTCATTTGGGGGGGGA